AACAATTATTTTCTTAAGTACCACCATGGGAGTCCCACGCCTTGGGGGACTTAAATAAACCGTTGGCTTCTGTTGGGCCACTTTGTGATCCTCTGTTTGCCATGGATCCATTTACTTCTGTTCTGTTTGCCACGCTAGTGACTTCTGTTCTGCTCCGTGGTTGTGGTTATTTATATAATTTCTATCTTTCAGTTTCTGTCACTTAAATAATTTGTTTATTCAAATTAAGTTATGTTAATGTTTTAGCTTAAATAACTACCCATGGTTATTTTTGTGCCCCATATACTCACATTATAATATTTCTTACTCTGCTATGTGCTTATAGCTGTTACCCATTTCAGCTGACGAGATTCAACAGGATCAAGATGGGAGATAAATCGCAGTGTTTTGTTTTTATTTGTTTACTATCTGTATTTCTGAGTGGACTCTTTTAATAAAATAAAAAGTCCAAATGACTATTTGTTTTTCCTTTTAATAAACTTTTGGTATCCATTTATTTTATTTTAATATATTTAATTTATCTGCTTGCGCTACTAATACAATAATTTTAGAATCATTTTATTTTTCTTGTCTTATTGCGACGCCAAACTTTTGGATACCCGGTTTGGATTGTGACAAATTCCATAGATGCGACAAAAAGTTAGGTCTTTATGTATGAGTTACCTGATATATATACACATATAGATATAGATATATGTATTGTGGGGAATATGTACGCATATATTTCTATATATACACATATACATATACATATAGATATATATAGATATAGATATATATCTGTATTGTGGGGAATATGTATTGGGATATTTTTTGTTTACATATGTGTATTTATGCAAAAGTTTTGGGAGCTTCAGATATTGAAGGCAGTGGAATAATTAGAAAAATTAAAATTGGTTTTCTTTTTTTGTTTTTTTGTTTTTTTGTTTGTGCTTGAATCTTGGGTGCGTTTCATCACTGGAGCTGTTAGTAAGCTGTTCGCCTTTTCATTCTTTGTCAAACATTGATTCATGCAAGAATTCCCTTACTGGATCTTTGCTACATTTATCCAAGAACATTGCCATTAAAATCTCGGAAAACCTTGTTTGGTTGTGGACTTTTCAGGATATATTAGAGAGCTTGAGAATAGCAAGCAAGTATTATATATATATCTGTCACATTCAGAGAGGCAGTAGCTGAAGTAGAATACAAGAGCAACATTTTAGGAAGTGAAGTTATAAACAAATATAAGAATGAAGGGTTAATAAATTTCTATAAAATTTGGATTGGACTCATTGGTTTGTCTCATTTCAATTTGATGCTTAAAGTTGGATTTCCATTACTAAATTCAATAATAGACAATGCTGAAGAGTCTATATTGGTTAAGATGTTGTAATTCAAATATTTTGCTTTGTTTGCTTACTTTTCTGTAAATGTAGTTGTTGAAGTTTTGAGATAACTAGAATTAATTGTTGATACTAAAAAACTGACTTCACCAAGGTTATAATCACAGAATGACCCTTAACAGGATGCATAGCTGCTGGAATGATAGTCATGTTACATGTGCAGAGGAAAGAAGTTGCTGGAATTCTCCTTCCCAATAGGAGGACTTGCTTGCTTCAGGTGAATACAATTATTTTCTTTCCAAATGCTTGCTCATTATTCAAATTTTTTTTTTTTTAAAGCTCAGGTCATAGAGGAGCAGCATTCATAGAGTAAGCACACTGTATCTTATGTTATACATTTTATTTAAGATTTCATTATCCATAGAGTACAATTACTTTGATTTTTTCCCATTTAAATGCATTTTTCCCTAATTAAATAAATTTGTTATGCTATACCATTTAAATTTATCCATCTTGGAGACAAACTTGAGCAATTACAATTCTTTTTGTAGATTGAGGCATGTGGTGGTTAAGAACTTGAGCAATTACAACATAAACATAATTTTTTGTTTTTGTCTTTTTGTTTCTCCTTTTATCAGCAATTAACCTTAGAATAAATCTATTTTTCGTGAAACCTGATACTTTTTTTCAAGCTACTATAAGATTGTAGTATTTTTCTCCCTTTGTGCATTTAACTTTGTAAAGCACGTTTTTGTTATCAAATTGTATTATCAGGTTTTGTGATTTTCTTTCAAATTGTATTAGGAGGTTATTTTTTTTGTCTCTACGATTAGATCCTATTGATTTTTCATCCTAAAGCTGAAACTTGATAGCCACTCAAAAACAGTAGGTTGCATCAATCTTCGCAGCATTCACATTTCTTGTTGCTATTTTTGATGTATTGTCTTAGTTAAAAGTTGTGGACTTGAATCACTTGACACCATCTGGAAAAGGTTGCCCTTTTTTAATACTACAACTTGCAGTTTATACTTTATAAGAGCTCATAAGTTTCGTTGTTGGTAAGTACACATTCTACTTAATTTATACATATTCCTATTGCTATGGGCTCCTTGACAGTTCATCTCAAGCATAGGAAAAACCAGTGGTCTAGGGAAGAAAATTATAATAAGAGAGGGGAGAGTAATGAAAATATAGGTATTGAGATTATCTACAATGCATATATATATATATATATGGGTGGGTTAAGAATTCATGTTCTCTCATAGCAATATGTGCAAGATTATTCATGTTCGGCATATGTATATTGAGGTTATTCATGTTCTCTCATTGTTCATAACAATCTAATTTTCCCATTTATCCTCTCTAATTTATAAGTATTATGTGCAGGATTTTTCCAACAAAATGTTTATATTATTATACTTCAAGAAAAAGGTTAGTAGCTTTATCCCCATTTTTCTTGCAAGAGTATATATGCCCATTTGCTTTGTTGACAGTACCTGTTCAAGTGCCCATTAAAATAACTTCATTCTTTGCTCTACAGGAGACGCAAAATTCCAAGAGGGAAATTGAATGGCCTGAGTTGAAGCCATGTTTGTGCAAAGCGTCAACAAAAGTGCTTGTGTCTCAAGATCAACGAGCCCAAATTGATATTGCTCTATGGCGGAGCTAGAAAATCAAATTAGAGGAGGCACTTATTAATTACAATATCGAAAATTTTTACAAAAATATTTTACGCAAGTTTTTACGATTGATTTCGAAAAATATCAAAAAATAATGTTATTTATAATTAGTGTATCATGGATAATATAAAAAATATATAGATATAAGTCTTAAAATAAATTATATAATGATAAATTATTTTTTTATACAAAATTTGATTAAAAATTCAATACAATGGTAACACTACGTCATCATTAATATGTGATATCACTAATTAATAGTAAATAAACACATAGAGAGTGAATCTCACATCTCAAATGTAACTTTTTTATTTTTTTGAGCAGATCTCAAATGTAACTAATATTCTAATAAATGTCATATCTTTATAGTGAGATTACTTATACTTGCATGCCAATAATAATGACTTCATCGTTACATTCAAAATTTTTCATAGATAATATGGTTCATAATAGTCTCTTCATTTTCAATCAAAATAACCATTATTGTTCTCATAATTTTTAAAATGTCATTGACATTTCACTCTAATAATATTTTTGTAATTTTTTTTATTTAAAATATTTTCTTTATATTTGTAAAAAAAAAAAACCCATAATCCAAGGGGGCATGTGACCCCCTGGTTCTCACTTCCCTCCACCATTGGCTCTGGCTACTGCAGTGTGTAAAAGTTTTTTCGTGACGCTGATGTGGCAATATCGATTTTTTACATGTCTACATGGTAAATGAAGTTGTTGGATGTTTGTGATATTGTATTCATGTTGATGGCTGGGTCTCTTATGTACATGAATTGCCTACTGCTTTCATTTGTGCCCCCATGGATTCAGAGCATCCATTCATGCACTTGATAGGGTTTGAGGATAGAGGATTCATAGCTTGAGGACCTAATTCTTTGCCTTTGTTTGGCAAGAATTGTTTTAACTTGCCTTCGTTTGTATTACATTTAGAATTTGACGTTAAATTTGAAATTTTTTGATGGTTGAAAGTGAAATGTGTGCACGTTGTGGAATAGTTGTTAATATAATTAGTATTCAAGGATTATTTTGTTTATATACAGGGTACATGTTGCACTAATAATGGAATAAATACAGGTGGTTGAGAAAGTAATTTTTTTGTTAAAAAAAACAAATTATAAAGTTTTTAACGACTAAATATTTTGGTAGCCAAAAATGCAAGCAAAGATTTTTGGTGTCTATATATTTAGTAGTAAGAAAGAAACAAAAGACTTTTGGAGACCAAATAGTTAGTAGCCAAAACAAATCAGAATGAGGGAAGAAACTATTGCCAACTAAATATTTTAGTCACCCCAAAACATGGCATCCTTCGGCGACTAAACTATTTGGTCGTAAAATAGAAGGAAATGAAAATATCTACTCTTTTGGTGACTAAATTGTTTAGTCATGAAAACTAACAACGACTAAACTATTTAGTTGCTAAATGTATTATTATTAGCGACTAAAATTTTTAGTCTGTAAATGTATTATTATTAGCGACTAAATGTTGTAGCGACTAAATAATTTAGTCGCTAAAAGAGAATTTCATTTTGTTTTGATTACTTTTGGCGACTAAATATTTCGTCGCCAAAAAGTTATGTTTGGTAACTAAATTTTAGTAGCCGAAGATGAGATAATTAGCGACCAAGGTCAATTTAGTCGTGATTGACTATTGCCAACAAGGCTTTGGTGACTAACAGGGTAATGAAGAACTTCAGTCACCATTGACTTTCGGCAACAAAAAAATAACCTTCGGCGACTAAAAATTTGGTCACCAAATGTGTAATTTCGTAAAATATATTTTAGTAACTTTTTGACTTTTTACGAAAGGATGTGTAGAAAAGTAGAGAGAGCGATGTGACAACTTATAGTGACATTTTGACTAAAATATATAGTTGATAAACGAGACATAAACCAAAAGTTTTGGGGCTTAGCGAAATAATATAAGACAAGTTTGTAACACACCACAATAATTAAGGCATATATGCATAGTGAGAGTAGTACATACCAAGATGATTTGTTGCAAATTGCATCTCAATTCCGTCTTCAAATAGCTGGTATGGGAAAAACATAACACTAGCACTGTTTTTGAAACATATATAGATTATTCAAAACTTGCAATTTTTTTGTTTATTTTCATACAGAGAGAGAGAGAGAGAGAGAGAGAGAGAGAGTACATTAAGATGTTGAGGGGAAGATTGAGAGAGTTGAAGTGATTAACAAAGGCTTTAATTGAGTTGATTGAGAGGTCAAGTTTTAGGACATCCACACGAGCAGTTTCGTAGTCTTTAAGGATGAGGTGTTTGGCTTCATTAGCAACTGACATCAATACAGGAATTCGCATTTTTGCCGACCAAAAATTTAGTCGGTAAAAGTTATCCGCGACTAATTTTTACTTTGGACGCCAATTGAGGGTCGCAAAAAGTAATTAGCGACTTAAAAATTTTTTGGTCGGGAAAAAGTTCTATTTGCCGACTAACTTTTTGGTTGCTAAATATATAATTACTGCGACTAATCCATTTAGTAGCTAAAACACTTTAGTTGTGAAAAGCCATATTTTCCCGATCAAACATGCTAGTCGCCAATTGTCACATTTAACGACCAAAACGTTTGGTCGCCAATTGTCACATTCCACGACTACAAAGTGTGGTCGGCAATTGGTACATTCCACGACTACAAAGTTTGGTCGGCAATTGGCACATTCCACGACTAAAAAGTTTGGTTGGCTATTGTCACATTCCACGACCAAACTTGTTAGTCGACAATTGACCAATTAGTGACGAAATCTGTTGGTTGCCAAAATTAATGATTTTAACTACTAAATAATTAGTTGCCAAAAGTATCCTGTTGCCTACCATATTTAGTCGGCAAAAATATTACTTATATCTTTCCTGGCTAATCACTTGGTCGCCATCATAGGAAAAACAAAACCAAAATTTAGTCGCCAACTTTCAACAAAATAAATCTGTAATTCATAATAATCCATCCAATATAATATGTAATTTGCACGAACATTCGACAAAATACATAAATCATCCAATCCTGAACCTGTTTAATAAAACTCAGCAATTATTATAAGTTTTCATCCACAAGTAATTCCAAACTACATATTCCTCCAATTAAAAATCCACTTGTAATCTATATAATCATCAAAGTCACATCCATAGAGCATAAAAATTAATACAGAACAAGTACTTGCTATCATGTTTTAAATTTTTATCCATGCGCATCTGTCAAAAAATATCTACCCAAATATTTTCTATACACATCCATCCAAAAATATAACTACTATTGTACCCAAATATGTTCCACCAAAACATCTATCCAAAAATATATATTTCTTCAAAAAATGTAACAAGTGCCAACTAGTCCTATACAATTTAGCTTCATGCACGAGTTCATCCATCTATACCAAATAAAAAGAGAAATAATGTTAGGTACTTTTTTATGAAAAATTTGCACATCAAATGATTGTAAAATTGGACAAAAAAATGTCCAATTTCAGTATAGGTAACAGGAACAAATTATTGAACTTTCAATACCAGTTTGTAAATAAAACAACATCATTCATATGTAAGTCAACATTACAATTCTATTAATATGATCATTTCCAATGTTGTTTGTCATCTACTTTTAATACCAACCGCATTGGCCTCATCCTTGGATTTTTGCATCTGTGGTCTTTACTCAAATAAGCCTTCTTCTTATTGTTTTTTACAAAAATGTCTGTTTTTGTTAGTATTTCAAGAACTATGTGGAAAAGGTGATGTTTTGTTGTTGGCTCGAGCTATTTTGAACTTAGAAGTCACACCATTGTTTAAAGAGTCGTTGTAAGCTGTGGCAGCCGTCTCAAGGGTGAAGTGTAAAATTCTATCAATTGTAAGTCCATGTGATTGATAGGATTTGTTGAAAACATTTTGTTGGAGTCTTAAGGTAATTGAAAATATATGTAGCCTTTTGCTATATGGTAATTTCGCGAATGCACTTTATTTAGTACCGGCCATAACTCCTATTTCTCTAGCTGGTGCATCTCTGTGAAGCCGAAAGCATATCTTTTGTATATGAGGTTGCCAAGAAAAGTCTGTAACATTTGAGGTTTACGCATGATATGTCATTTTTTGCTTCCAAGTATGTATATTTTCGCATTTCAATGGACAATTTCTTGCACAAATCTCTAATTGTGCATCCTATCGACACGCCACTTGCTCTCACAAGTTTGTTTAATCTAGTCCTTGGTGACCATGATAATCTCGAGGCTGTTTCCAATTTTGTCCCCCAAACGGCCCGTTTTCGCCTATTTCCTCACAAATTTTTGTTTAAATCTATAATCGTGCATCCTATTGATGCGCTGCTTGCTCTCAGAAGTTTCTTTAGTCTACGCTAAGGTGACCATTATGATCTCGGGGGTGTTTTGATGCTATTTCCAATTTTTGCCCCCAAACAGCCTGTTTTCGCCTTTTTCCGTAACATTTTGTTGTCTACATATCTAACTGTGCATTCAATCGGCACGCCGCTTGCTCTCACTAGTTTATTTAATGTACTCCTACGTGACCGTGATGATCTCGGGGTTGTTTCCAATTTTTTCCCTCAAAAGGCCCGTTTTCGCCTCTTTTCCTCATAATTTTTTTGTCTAAATCTCTAATCGTGCATCCTATTTACGGGCCGCTTGCTCTCACAAGTTTCTTTAATCTAGGCCGAAGTGACAATTATGATCTCAGGGGTGTTTCGATGCTATTTTCAATTGTTGCCCCCAAACGGCCCGTTTTTGCCTTTTTCCATAACATTTTGTTGTTTACATATGAAGAGACCCACCTTTCATATCCCTTATCTTTGTATCTATATGCATCTCATGAAAGTTCCACATATACAGTTTGACCTATAACAAAAGATATATAATATGCAGAAAGACTCATAAAGTTGTACACTCATAACTCCTTCATGCGTGTATGAAGAGACCCACCTTTGTTTCTAAGAAAGTGTTTAGAGTCTTTACACATTTTGGGTTTACAAATTAAGGGTTAAACTAACTGTATAGCATGCATAACCTTTTCATACAAGACAAATTCATTAAAGATTTCCACCTTTAAAACACACTTATCTCTTTCTTGTACGCTTCCTCCTCCACAATTTGCTAAAGAATTTTATCCCTAGAATCATTAGTTGATTTAAAATTTATATTAAATTACAAGTGTTTAGTAATTTGTGAATGATAATGCAGCCTGTTACGAGGCAAAAACACAATAGGCTGTGTTGATGTTCTGTAATTAGCATTCTCAGTTTCAAGAGAGATTGATACAGGATTGATATTGGCTCTATTATCTCTAGGCTTGCTTGAACTTGTACTCTATTATTCCTCATTTGGCTTGAGAGGAATCATAGAGTCTTCAGCAAAGAGAACATTCCTGCAGCAGTTCTTGCTTTGAAAATCTTTAATATAATTTAGAGTGTTGTCACTTAAACATTTGAAGAGGAATCCAAATGCTGCATGGTTTTTACCTACTTGGAGGCAGCCATCATCTATCCTCAGTAAGGATCCTAATTGAAGTTTTAGTAGGTATATCTAACAGTTTTGCAGGTGGTCCTGCCCTCATTCTGGTTGTTGGTATACCTCATTATCGTGAATGAACCAGATGATTGGGGCAGTGAGTTGAGTGTGGTGTGTTACCTATAATCAAGGTTGACAGTATGTGAGCTACTATAACATCTTTTCTAACAGTTTGCTATGCAGGTTTTCATTCTGGCCTTTCTTAGGGATGGTTGGTTGAGTCTGTTGTGAGCATTTAGTCAGGTGTTGGGCAGTAATGAGCTTGTGGGTTGAGTGATGTGAAATTTTGTAAGAGTGTTTCTAACTATTTTCTTGCTGGTTCAGATCTGTACTGCCACATTAGTAGGGAATTCTTTGGTGAGAGCCTAGTGATGAGAGGATACATGTTTGGTTTGATTTATATATAGTTTCTATAACCTGTTCATTTGATAAGTTATTATGCTATTGACTGTTGAGTTTGTCAGTACATATATCAGTGAGGTGTGGTTGCCCAGTTAACTTGTAACGCCCTTAAAATAAACCCATAAATCATACAATCTTGACATGCTTAGACATAAGAGAATAAAGCATAATTTCATTATCAGAGTATTCATTACAAAAGTATTACATGTTGACATCAAAAGTAAATGCCCTACGGGCTTACAACTTTCCAAGTCGACACTTGGTTACAAAAAAGAGAGTACTAACTCAAAAGAAAAAATAAGCCCTTGGCTTGATTTACATGTAATATACAAAAATAAACAAGAGCCTTCAACTCCCACAGCCATCCAAGCTAAGACCTGGGAGGCGGCATAATACCTGAACCTAAAAAATGATGTCCCATATAGGGTGAGCCAACGCCCAGTAGAGATATGCTAAACATAATATGAGCAATAACTAAAACATTAGCATTCGATAAATGTTTAACTCATATATACCAACTTATAACACATTTCAATTCCATGACAAATATGTCCATGTTTCATTCCATTTTCCATTACTTATCTAGTTCTCCATTTATGAATAAGGCTCAGAACCTAACTAATAATTTAATGAGACTATAACTCATATCAAAACACTTCTATAATTCACAATAGATACACATACTTGCTGTATCAATACCACATCAAAACACTTCCATACTTCATAAATGATACACAGATTCGCTGTATCAATAGCACATTAAAACACTTCCATACTTCATAAATGATACACAGATTTGCTGTATCAATGGAGTTCATCCCCTATCTCCTCTCAAATAAAATCTGATTTAGGAGTACATCCCCTATCTTTCCCGCCATCCCTAAACCGTGGAGTGCATCCCCTATCTCCTTCCACACAACATAATGTATATAAACACATATCATATACATGAGCAGTCAATACATAAATTTGATGTATTATTTCAACCGTCATATTTGATGACATAATCAATTGATTAGTTTTAATTCACCTAATCATCATGCATTGTCTACAACAATCAAGACTATCCTTCACCGATAGCCCAAAGCAATTTATTTCTAAACAGATAATTTGACAACAATTTCATAAGTGAGCGATTAATAAATTCAACTCCACCATTCCCTCTTATAATGAGCCAATTTCATTATTTCTGACTCAATTCCATATTTCCATAACATTCCCAAATTAATTATATAAATTAATTCATATAACAATTTAGGGCTTTCTCTTCATTTTTCTCTACAATGACCCAAAGGTCCCATATATCATCAACAACATCAATACTATCATTTTAAGACCCAAGATACACATTTATGAGTCAAAATAACCAAACCCTTCTTTGTTCATTTTGAAACCCT